GGAGTTGAAGTCCACAAGTCTTAAAGTGGCCAAGTTGGGAGACCTCTGCACTAGAGCCTGGCCTAGGGACATTTAGCGTCCGATCTTTTGCTTGCTTTATGGCACTTGGGATATTGCACACACTTTCATTTCTGCAATGAGCCAGGCAAGTGTAAATAGGGCGGAGGCAGTGGTAGGCTGCAACAGGTTTAACAACTGGTTCTGCGAGCGCGCGTGCATTGTTCAAAAAAATACCAATTTGAACCTCTACAGCTGACCTCCCAGGGCAGCCCCAGTGAGTAGAAGAAAATCCACGGTGCTGCGAATCAACTGAGCTGAAAAAGATGGAAATATAGGACAGGATAAGGATCAGATGGGTGGGCAGGGCCAGCTGATCGTTGGAGCTACTGGCTCGCGAGAACCGTTCCCAACCGCCAGCTGCCCACCACTGGGTGGAGGAGTTTGGTCCAGCGTGTTGTGTGAACCCAGCCAAGGAGGGTGGCTTCTCACCCGCCCCCAAGGAAGGATGAAGCCCGGGAACTTCTGGAGGGTGGCTCCCTCTACACACGTGAACGTGGTTCTCCCCGTTCGTAGCCTTCTTCCTACCCAGCCCTGCTTGCTTGCTTTCATTTGTGCCCAAAGCACCTACATAGGTGTAACATTCAACAATCAGCAACTAAAACAAGTGTGAAAGAGGTCATTGAAAATGTAGCACACTTAAAAATGTGTAAAATAAATAGGACTGAAACTAAACAACGTTCGCCCCGTATCAGGCCACCTCAATGGCATTTTCTCTGGCCAGCAGGAGGTCTCCCTCCCTACTTCTTGAAGGATTTTGTGTGCACCGCAGCATGTGTGAGATGGTGTGTTCTTCTCTGCACTCACATGGAGTGCCTTACGTATCCAATGTCCAATGTCCAATCTCTGCTGCTGGCTATAAATTGAATTGCATGGAATCGAGCCCTTTATATGGTGATTGGACACACAAGGAATTTGTCTCCGGTACAGAAGCTCTCACTGTACATGCAAAATGAAAGAGTAATAATGAACAGAATAAAGATACCAATAAGAGAAGATAGTAGAAGAGATGAGAAGGATGATAGTAATAGAGCCCTACTTTATGGATAAATATACTTAGACATAAGGTAGTGTTGAGGGAATTATTTGTTTAGCAGAGGGATGGCGTTCGGGAGCAATAGTTCCCCTTGTGTCTAGTTGTTCTGGTGTGCGGCGCTCTGGAGCGTCATTTCGAGGGAAGGAGTTGAAACAGTTTATGGCCAGGATGTGAGGGGTCTGTAGATATTTTCACAGCCCTCTTTTTGACTCAGGATGCAGTATACAAGTCCTTGATTGAAGGCAGGTTGGTAGTAATTGTTTTTTCTGTGGTCCTAATTACCCTCTGAAGTCTGTGTCTGTCCTGTTGGGTTACAGAACCAAACCAGACAGTGATAGAGGTGCAGATGACAGACTCAATCATTCCTCTGTCGAATTGGATCAGCAGCTCCTTGGGCCGCCTGAGCTTCCTAAGTTGATGCGGGAAGAGCATTCCTCCTTGGGCCTTTTTAATGGTGGTTTTAATGTTAGGCGTCCAAGTTTCATTTCCAATGCCAATGTTGCATGTGCATGAGACGGTCCTACCTGAGACTTTGGCATTTGTTTAATACCTACCTGAGAGGTCCAGGTACTGTGTGACTCGATTCACAAGCCTGACCGAGCCAAGGTTTTACTTCATCAAGATTATTTAAGATGCAGCTGGAAAGCTTCCCCCCGAAACAGGCCAGGTTGTGGTGAAGTCACCTAGGGAAGGTGTTGTGGTTCGCCGGCAGCCTGTGCAGACGGCAGCGGAATTGGACAGTGGGGAAGAACGGGGACCAGTCCGGGAGTCTGGAGAGGACTCAGACGAGGGACCTGCATCCGATGCAGAAATGGGGCCAGGACCATCTGGGAGTGGGGTACTGACTCCGGAGCCTGGCAGCAGCGAGGCAGAGGAACCAGGGGAGCCTGTTCCCAGTACGCGTATGCACAGAGCTGCCAGAAGGCAAGAGCAGCTGAGACGAAAGGGGTGATTGCCCCTCCCATAAGGGATAAAGGTCAGGCAAAAGTAGAGAAACCTTTGCAGGAAGCAACGTTGTTCACTCTGTTTGGATTAATCCTTGAAGCTCTTTGTACTCTGGTTGGTTATTGGCAGCACTTCACAGGAAGGAAAGGTGGGTGCTTATCTCGGGGGACTGTTTGAGATTCATTACCGGCTGGGAATGAAAACAGTTTATCAGTGTTGCAATTAACTAAGTCTTGTTTTTAAAATATAAGTGTGTGCGTAATTACGGTGTCGGAAGCCTTGGTCAGAACAGTAGGGAAAAGACTGGTCCAGTTGGACCTGAGGGGGGGGATAGTGACAGGGGGACTGAAGGGGACCCTCCAGGGAGTCCCTGCTGAGAGCTGTCTCTCCCCTCCCCTCCCCTCCCCAGAATGCCCCCTGACCATGAGTGCCCAGCTGGAGTTCTGTGCCGAGATTATCAAAGCCTTGAAGAACGGTGGCGCCCACTTGGACTTCCGAACCCGCGAAGGGATGACGGCTCTGCACAAGGCCGTCCGATGTCGGAACCACACTGCCCTGCGGGTGAGTCTCCAATCCCCCCCCACCAGAGTTGGGGGGCAGCCTGGACAGCTGACCCTGGTCCTTGGAGGGGGCTGGGTGGCAGGAGCTGCGAGGTTGCAGGGGGAGAGCCAGGCGGCAGCACGGTGGCCAAACGTCCAATGGAGTCCGGGAGCCTCTTTGCCAAATCCCAAGTTGCTTTCCAAGGAAGAAGCTGAGGGGTCCTTGGTGCTCTCTGAGCCTGGTGGTTTTCTTGCAGCTGTTTCATGACCCAACGAGGGAACATCATCAAGGCTAGAAAGGAGAGGAGGAGGGAGGGAGGGAGAGAGGAGGAGGACTGTGGGGTCCTTGGTGCTCTCTGAACCTGGTGATTTCTAGGGAATATCATCAGGACTAGAAGGGAGGGGGTTGTGGAGAG